GATAGTATCGATGATGTGCCCCTACCGCGCTGTTTAGTGCTCGACGTAGCCCGCCCGGAGCTAGCAGCTACAGATCATGTACGCAGGATGGAATTGAGAGTACAGTGCCCCCAGTGCCGGCTGCTCAGTGGTCCAGCAGCTAGCGACAGCGGCAGAAGTCGCTGAAACCCGCGACGGCGGCGCTGTCTCGGAACGTCTGTGCGGCACCAATCGCACTGTCAGTGGGCGGTAGTGGGCGGCAACAGCGCACAAGTGGCTGGCCTCTGACCACTGTCACCTCAGCTGCCAGCACGCGAGCAGCCACCAAACCCCCCCACCCCGGCCCATCAGGCCCGTTGCTGCAACCCAGGTGGCCTGGCCGTGATGACGCTCAACAAAAACAAAAGGCTGTCCCGACCAGCCTCTCCTTTTCCCTCTGCTGCTTTATCCTGCTCTCTGTCGCCTTTTGCTCGCTCCTCCCGGCCACGTCCAAACTGCAGGCCATTGGCGACTGGCACGATTTGCTTCCAGCGAACACCCCTACCCATCAGCTTATTCCCTTGAGCGCTCCACCTTGACTCGGCATTGCCACGCCACATGCAGCGCAGCTGTCCTTCACCGATCAGAGCGCCCCCATTTGCCTTATCGCGCGCGACATTTCCCCGATAATTAGAGAATAACCGACATTGGGAACCCACATTAAACGCTTTTCCTCTTCGTCTTCTTTTCCTTCTTTATTCTTTCCGAATACATCCATCCGGCCATCCATCATGGCATTTCAACAGCAGCCCAACCGTCCGGCCGTGCAGCGGGCTGCTCGCTCCGCCGTTGGCAGCCAAGGCCTTTCCAGGCGCTCAGCGCGCAGCACCCAGGAGCAAGAAGCCGACGAGGCGCAGACTTGGGTGCTCTTCTCGCCTCCTACCGATATCACCACCACATCCTATCTGACCGAAGATGAACATGACGAATCGCTGGAGACCCCAGGCCGATCGCGCCTAAGCGATCTCGGCAGCTTAAATACAGTTGCAAGAACAGGCTCGGCGGCGGCGGCGGCGGCAGGGCGAAATGATGAGGCCCAGTCATCGCAGCTCTCTGCGGCTGTTGATGAATCACAAGCAGATGATGCCGAGCTGGATAGTCTCGATGGCCATCTGCCTGGATTCAGGTCGTTCCCCCGGAATAGTTTTGTTATGCCCGTCCTCCCAGCCCATGATGGACTCGGCTCTTTCCACTTAGATCAACCTGCCCTCGGCATAGACGCTCAGGACCATATTTTCCAGTTTGAGAGGTTTAACCCTAGACGAGTACGCCGGAGGCTAAACAGCTTTGATGAGGCACAGTTTGAATTGGAGCAAGCACAAGTCCAGGAAGCGGAGAAGCGGGCTCGGATTGAGGCATGGCGGCTGGAGCATAGCCGCATCATCCTAGAAGAGGTGCAGCGCGAGGCACGACGATCAAAGATATTGCAGCAGAAACGGGTCGTTGCACAGAAGACCACGGCAGAGACAGAGGAAGCCACCGACACTACTGAGGATATGACATGGCACGAAGAAGACCCAGATACTCACCCCGAAGACAAGGAAGACAGCGAAGGGCTGATAACGAGAATCACTCGCAAAGTTTTGCGGGATATACTCGGTATAGATGAGAAGCTACTATCCGTGGTACTCGGTGGTGATTTATTAAGTGATGAGGAGCTATCAAGGACGCCCCGTCCATCAGAGAGTGGACGCGACCAAGAGGCACCAGACTCGGAATCGGAGGAATCATGGCATATGCGCATTCTGGAGACAGTATCAAGAGAGCTTGGCTTGCTGGTCAACCATCTCGCAAAGCATCCGGGCGCCTTTTCGACGTACTCGCATGTTCATCAAGTGCCTCTACCTTATGCCGGTTTGCCAGCCATACCGGAGGCTGCAGCGCGGTCTTCCTCTGGACGCACAGCCGCAGACAAGGCTAGCGAGAGTTTATTCCCCGAGTTCAGACCCACGATTCGATCCGCTCCGCGAACGGCCAACAGACCACCACTGAGGTCAACAGCATCAGAGGCGCTGCTTCAGGACTTGCCCATGGACGACACCTTTACTCAAGAGGAGTGGGAGAGGGACATTGACATTAAGCTCATGTTTCGATATTTGGTATCGCGCTTCACGTCCAGGCCTGAGCCTACGATAGCTGCCGAGATGACTACCCGTCCGGTTCCTGCGAAGCCGCAAGACGCTGCCGCTAAGGCTGCCAGAGTAAGGCAGCACCACCCCCTCACCTCCCGGACTCGCCCTAATGAACGTCGAGCTTTCAAAGCAACTGCACCTAGCAGCCCCGTGGCTATGCGACATCACTCCAGCTGTGCCAGCCAGAGCACCCGCCGATCGGCCAGGAGAAGCAGCGTCTCGTCGCGACACTACTGGGACATTGGAGGATCCATCGGCACGGGCTCAATGATTGCCGCTGCTGCTCCCAACGCCGCGATGGGTAGCTGGGGCGAAGTTTAGAACGACGTGTTGGGGAGTTTTAACATCCTTGGGTTTTTATATCATTCGTTCTTTATCACTTTTTGGCATCACTTACAGCGGCATTATTAGGCGACTACTACTTTATTGGCCCCCTCATTACTATCCTATTATTATTATTGATGAAGAGCAAGGCGTAATGCATTTGTTGGCGAGATGCATGATGTTAATGAATTTGAGATGGGTTGGGAAAGGCGTCTATAATTCACTTTTTTTCTTGGCTCGGCGTTAGATATACTATTACTATTGGAAGAGTCCATCCTCAAAGATACAAATCTGCGGGCTATTTTAGCATTCTACAATAGCCACGCAAAACTTCCAAGCATATTGGGAAGTCTTGAATATAATCATCTTTTGATTGACAACGCACACACGTTTTCTATTGACTACGTTGATGGTGAGGCTACTAGGAGGTTCAGTTCGCCTGGCGCGGAAAAGCAGACGTTTGTCGGTTGGTGGCTTGACAGGATGTCGTGTCTATGCATGCAGGACGGGAAGAGGCTCCACTGAGTTACGCTCGTGATGAAGGTGAGGCGAGGCTGCTTGGATGTCTTCTGTTGCTCCCTACAAATTGCTACTTATCGTATAGATGGGATGGGACTTTTGTATCACAGCGTTGTTTTGGAAGATTTTCCATACCTGTATTGTATCAATAGGACTACAGGCGCTGTGTAGGACTTTATTGGAAGTCCTGGGACCCTTGCATTGCGCGATATCGATATAGTGGGGCAGTCTGTGAGTTCTGTTGGCGTTTATTACAGGTAGCTTTGATGCTGTCGATGCCTCGATAGTGTCCTTTTTGCAGCGGTGGTGGCTGTGTAGTACCTGCAGAATTATGTTAAGAAGATAAAGTCTTTGCCAGACTATATGTGAAAGCTTGCTTCATTTCTTTTTGCTGCTTCGTTTTCTGCATTATCGCAACAATCCAAATCAAAATATCCAGTCGCTGTCGGCGCCCACTACTGTACTAAAGGAGCGCCACGCCGCACTGCTGCTAGCCAAAAAGGCACGGGCCATGCCGGCATGGCTGTGGGCCGCATTTGATAGAGAGAGACTGGATTGAGCGTTTTCTCGCGTTTCTTGGAGGGAGAACGGTGGGAATTATCGCCAGTCGAACCGCGTAAAGTAGTTTTGGCGGGGTTGGAGGGAGAGGAAGCAGTGAATAGCGTCATGGCTTGTTGTTGTAAATTTGAGGCTATTAGCTGTTTATTTGTTTTTCTTTTTAGCAAGTTTCTCTCTCTTGCGATAATGTTTTGGCAGGGCATTGTTTTCTGTTGTACTGTACCTTAGTGCGTTGAGAGAGAGCTGAAGATGTGATGCATATCGGGCCATGTTGGCTGCCTATCTGCAGCATCATGTGGCGCAAATATGACAGTTGACATGTCCCTCTATCGCAGCGTTCTTCACCTCGCCTCAACATCAGTGTTGGATAGGTAGATAAGCAGGTACGCAGCAGTGTATACTCGTGCATTAATAAGTATTGAGTACTGCTGGGCACCATCCAATCTCTTCGGCAGATGCGGGATTGAGAGGTAACCCAAAAGAATCAACGCTGCGGCGGCAGCAGCCAGCAGTGACAGCCTGGGAGAGGCGCCATAGGATGGTGTGCAGCCCCCTGTTCTTCGTGCTCCTCTAGTCCTTGGCCTCGTTCTCGTCTTCCAGCCAACGGTGATTCTGCATCATCTGCCACCAACTGATTGTGCCATTAAAGCTCGCGATAGGAAGCTGCTCCGGCTTCAAACAGACCGCATCGCAATAGAAGCGCGCACAAGGCCTCCTGTCAACTGTCCGCCGGCTTCGCAACTCGCATCAATTTTTCTCGTCCATTCCATCTTCCGCCCAACTTTCAGGCGATCAAATGATTTTAGGCCAGTTTTAGTGACCGCAGCGGGCACAAAGGCGCGTTTCGAGGGAGCCGAAATGTGGGGAGCCTCTTAAACCACCCAAGCTTGGGGCTCCCACTCAAGACAGGCCTTCCCAGCTCAGCACCTTTTTCTGGGCTCCCGCATCGCCTTTTCCAGCTCCATGACAGAATTCAGGCCGTCTTGCTCTGCTGCTCGCTGTTCCTTTCCTGCCATGCCCGCCAAGCCTGCAATGCTTCGACCTCCATAGAGCAATACCTATATATACGCCAGCGCCGCCCGTTTCTCCCTGTCGCTACTTGTCGTCTTCTCACCACCTCGTATCCCGGAGTTGCGACCTCACTCCGGACCTCTCGACACTCTCGACGCTTGAAACTGCTGTTTCCGATTGCAGCCTCCGCGAACTCGTCCTCTTTTCCATATTCTCTACTCGCAGTGCCATGAACTGAGTGATCAGCGGATCTGAGACCCGTCTGGGCCTGCTCACAGAGTGAGGTTCAACCAGCTCCCTTAAACAAGGACAAGACGTGCCATCTTCAGTCTGGTCTACCGAACGACGAGCGAACTCCAGAGCCCTCACGACTCTCTGACAGAATTCGACCCGAAACTCACCACATTCAGAGCTAGACGCAGCGGTCGGCGTATACCAATGGCCTCGGATCCCTTCGAAGCAGCTCAATATAGCGCTGATATCTTCGGTCTCTATCATGAAAACGCTACAATCGTGCGAGCTAGTGTTCCTCTTCCTCAGCTGCCTAGCGGTGGATGCAACTATGTAGATTTGACGCCCGGTACTCAAGGATCACGATGCGGCTGCCGTCGCTTCTGGTCTTCCCAGCCAGGCAGCCCTCACTTGGACCAAGCTGGTTGGTGCATGTGCAACCATCATGCGTGCTACCATGACGATCACCATCGCACTTCCCAGCCTCAACTGCAGTCGGCGGAAATGATCTCGATGCCCACCACTGCACAAGTCACCGAAAATCTGCAGGCGATTCCGGGACTAGACGCCATGAGCCCCGTTCTGGACCTCATGTCAACCAAGGAAACGTCTGTGATACTTGGGCCCGAGCTCCTCAGCTTCAATGGAGCCAGCCCCTTGTCTTTTCTCCAGAAGCCCATCGATGAGCATTTCAATTCTCTGGGGGCTGTTCCGACACCTCAGCAGGCGTCTGCTTCCATGCCTGATACTCTGGCCTGGACTGATCCTGTGAGACATACTCAACCGGAATCCCCTGCAGGACCAGCATCTATTCCTCCTCAGAGTCTCATATCTCAGTCGACCTCCAACAACTCTTCTATACATGCCAAGTATCTGAGGCCCTTTGGCGGAATAGGCTTGCATACTCTCAGCAGCAACAATCCGTCTAATGTCCCATTGCAGTCAATTGAACAGCCCAGCTTGCCGGAGTCACTGTTACAGCAGAAGACTCAAAGTATCGAAGAATCATTTGTATTCGTAACTGCGGATGAGGAGTCTACCCCAAGGCCGGACACTGCCACCACCCAGATCGAACCTCGTGCTGTTGCTGCTGCTGCTGCTGCCGCATCATCCGAGGCCCTATCTACTGAGGCATTGAAAAATCTCACAGACATAGTCGGCACCCACTCAGAACGGCTTGACAAGCTGGAGGCCTCTTTCTCGGATAATGCTCACGAAGAGTGTAATGACAATTATGAGCTGATGGATATTCGTGTTCTTGAGCTGGAGAGCAAAATGGAAGATATTGAAAATCGTGTTCTTGACAATGACAGCACAAATGACCATCCAGATGACGCTACCACCCCCAGCGAAGGCACTCCGACCCTCTCCAGTGCTACCAACCGCCAAAAGTACTCGCAGGAAGTTTACAGCCAGCTCCAGTCCCTACAAGCCCAAGTCAATCAACTTCAATCAGTCATCCCTTCTTGGAATCATGCTTGGGAAGTGGAAGTCGTCTTTATGCCCTTTCCACTCGGGAGGCTCTGGCAGCCTATTAGCCAGTTCAATGCTGCTCTGAAATTTGATAATGAGGATGATTGGACCCAGCTCCCCATGACACTGAGCACATCCAGATCCCGAGCTCAGTCCCCTTTCTTAGAAGACTGGGCTGCGCATGACCGCGAGGTAGAATGGCTCCTACCTAGGGCATGCAGCAACAAGGGCGTGGCAGACTGGCGTCTGAGGAGTCGTGGGCTCGTCAAGAAAATTGTGGTGAATAATCCGGATGCGAGAAGCGTTAGCGTTGCGATGCACGCGGCTTTTGGAAATGTGTTCCGCGACATGCACATGTATGCCAGACCACAAAGCCCTTACTCCAAGGCCTCCAAGTATATGGGACTTCAGTCGCCATGGGTTCCTCTCCGCAAAATCCATAAAGACTCACGTCTACGATTCCTGGGTCCAGAGGAAATGCTGACTCCGGCATTGTGGGACGTTCAGTTCCTCAACTCAATTATGATGAGGTCATCAGAACCTAGGTTGTTCGTTACTCATCCCGACGCCTACCTTCAGACCTATGAAGCGTACGAGTCGTCTTGGACTTGGACAAGGCTACAGGAGATGCCGCCAGCCTTTGATGTTACAGAATCGCAGGAAACACCCGAGATGAATCGACTTGAAGAATGCTGGGCATGCAATGAGCAGCTGGACGGACCGCTGGCTGCGCAACTTCCTAGCAAAATTCCCCGTCAAGAAGAACGCCGGGTCTCAATATCGCCATCTGTTGAAGTTTTCCCCACCGACCGTCTCTGGTCGGAACCTACCTCGACTACTATCCATCGCCAATCAGTAATAAGACGGAGCAAAGAGTCGGTCCCGCCTTTCCCCAGGACTCCGTCGGCGCCTATCCATGCCAAAATGCATCAGTCTGCGTCGGGAGCAATTCCCAAACGTCAGGTCTCATCTCGTGGCCAAAGCCGAAGGTCTTCACCAGCTATCCAGAGCCTACCTCAGGCAGGCGTTACAAAGAGGCGCCAGACGCGGGACTTGTCTGGCTACGCACGATATACCCCAAGACTAACCGAGTCACCACCTTCTACGCCCATTGTTTTTACTCGCCAGCGCAGCCGAAGTGCAACTCCTGGTAGGGGTATAACTCCGGCTCGAGGCACTACCCCTGGTGACTATGCTACACCTCATAGCATTCCCCCCCTCCGGGAAATTTCGATGGAGCCAAAAATTCGCCGTGTCCGCGAACAGTCAGTAGCCATGGTTGACGCTGACGAAGCATATGAGGGTAGTGAGAGCTCTGGTTTTATGAGCGAGGATGACGAATCATACAACAATGAGGGGGGCGATGCAGGCGAGCAAGAGGAAGAGAAGGAGAATATCAGCACCATAAGTGCGCCGCGTGGTTCCCGACTGCCTGTATCATCCCAATTTGGTCCAGAGAGTAGCTCACCGCCACGGCAACTTCCTCGTTCAAGCAGAGATAGCGTTGACGAATGGCCCGGCGTCCAAGATCAAGGATCGGGCAATCATCCAAACATGGAGAATATAGCACCTCCGGCCAACGGTGAACCGATTGATGAGAATCATTCCGACGGCGAGAACATTGACCCCAACCTCATGGATGTGGAACACGAAAGTGACCACAGCGGGCCCTCTGAGTATCCGAGTACACCGAGAGGGTGGCGAGACCAGACATCAGGGGAGATTTTTATCCATCAGGATGACCGGGATGAGAAAGCTTAATCTTCTCTCATTTTTTCCCTTTTTTTTTTCTCCCTTTTTTTTCTTGGTTAGGAAGCATGGCGTGTTTGTCGGCATTGAATTGAGTGACGTGTGAGCGCAGCCAGCATGACAGTTGTTGAAAAATTTCAAGAGGAGGGATTTATGATTGGACGAGCGTTTATATATCTATGTTTATATATATATATATATATACTACACACATATACAACGCTGATTTATTTGGGCATGGCACAGCTGTCGTTGATTATAGCGTGTTGAAACAGAGCAGCTTAATGTTTGCTAGAGATCTATTCTGCCTTTTTTGGTCGATTATGCATGGCGTTTGAGGGGAAGTTATCCTTCTTTTTGTTTTAGGAGTGTGTTAGCTCCTAATTAGCTTAGTTGTATGATATCGGAGGCGTCTGGGATATATATGGTTATGGGAGTGGCCTTGTACTTTTCCTCTTCTATAGGCGTAGTTAATACCCTCTCTTCTTTCTTCCCCTGCTCTTTCATTGACAAGGGAGGGATGCATCAGTGTGGTTGTTTAAGGTATATTGGAGAATTTACGTCGAAGAGCATGTTAAAGGCACATGTCTACCAAAGGCTTTTACTCTTCTCAGCCTAAATACCAGCCCACATCTTGAATAGGAGAAGATGCACCATACGCGTGATTTAAACATCGCCATGTAGAGCGATTTTTCCAATCGGTCTGCATACCTATGTGAAAAGGGTGGCATATGACTTACCCCACGAGACGCATTCAATGCTACTGCACCACAAAAGCGCCACGCACATATATTGGACATTTGAAGTATATTATTCAATTTTGATTTTATTGTTAATGTATAAATATTGAGTAAATGGTATGTCAAAAAGCAAATTCTATGTCGAATAACAGTAACAAGCAGGGCAGAGTATAGCAGATTTCTATGTTGCGGTGATAAATGTGACATGTGATAAGCGATGACAAAGAGGTATGGTATAATAACATGTGGTGTGTATAGGTATATGTACATTGTGAGGAAAGGCGCAGCAGCGGGATCGGGTATCGAAAGGCCTAACGCTGGCCCTTGAATATGCTCAAGCAAACTCCTTCACACTCAAGACACCAGATTGAATACAAGGGGAAGATGCGAGGGGGGTGTCATCAATTCGTTCCGCCAAGGCCATTATGAGGCCCAGATTGGGCACTCGTCAGGCCAGGCAATTGCCAATATGCAAAATCAACACCATGTCCCAAAAAAAAAAAACTGTCAAGAAAAAAAAACAATGAAAATCTTTCTCAGGGTATACATTCATCTAACCGCTGGGCGAATTGCCCAACAAGTGGTAATGGAAAGGAAAAAAAGAAAAGAAAGCCGAATAACGGAAGCAAGACTTCTATCGGTACTTAGTACCAAGTGCCCTTTGGATCAATCTCATATAACAGGCGACAGGATCTCGCGGGGCATAACGTTTGCCGTTCGAGATTCTTGAATTTGGGTCCGCTGGGTCCTGTAACATAATGGTACTGGCCAAAGAGGCGCCATTGGCGAGGGTCGGCTAGAGTGTACGTCTCATCTCCCCAGCGGCCCTGATAGTGCAGCCACGTAGTCGGCGCATCCGGATTGGACGCGGCGGGGGTGAAGCTGTGGGTGTCGTGCGTCAGTCCCTTCACTCCAATGCTGTCCTCATGCTCGATGGTATCTTCGGGGTTCTCGAGGGTGTAGTCGTAGTAATAAGCATAGTTATTAAGTGCAGGATCCCATAATGGACCCTTATCCGTAACGTCTTTGAGCATTTTGAAGGGCAGAACGTAAGGGTGTGGACCGGGCAGAGCGTACATGGCATGAGAGCCAACAGCCGAGTAAATGACGGGTCTCACGCCACGCTTTTCAATGGCCGACCATGCGTAGGCTTGGCCGCCTTCATGCTCAGAAAAGAAGATGCCGCGTGGTTCCCCATTCTGGAAGCGAATCATGCAATGCTCCCAGTCACCCACGTGGTTTCCGAATCGCAGGCCGAGCACGGTTTGCCCTAGATTATAGCTGTAAAAGAAAAACCAGAAAGCATCAACAATGCCCGAGCCTTTGTCCACCAGAACGAGGGTAGCCGGCGCTTTGGAATAACCATCGGCATCCGGCTTGTGGCCGCGCGGAACAATTCGTTGCTGTTCTTTGCCGGGACTAGGTGCCGGGAAATATGCGGGTTTGTTTTTGATTCGAGGATCCGAGATACGATGGACAGGGTGCTTCTTGTCTGTATCGAACCAAGTGTCGGGCTCGCTATGTGGTTTCCGAGCTCCTCCTTGGGGAGGTGGTATAGAAGCATCAGGGTCGTCAAAGGGATTGGGCAGGTTTTCATGGCTGTGAAGCCACTTGGGTCGGGATTCAACGTCTTCCAAGCTGTGAAGGGTAACCATGCGGTTGTCGAAGCGGTTAAGGCTCTGTAAATTGTGCAACGTCACATTCTGAGTCGTATTCAAGCGCTTGTGGTCGATGGTGACAATCATGTGTTGAATATGCTCGCGAATGTCTGAGGGCCAGAACTGCTCGCCAGAGTAGAGGTGCACCAACGGGGCATGGTCGATAACATATTGGGGTACTTCCTTGAGGATCTTGCGACGCTCCTGCGGATTCCTCTTCAAGTCCCTCTTGGCGCTCTGACTTCCAAAGCCGTTAAGTTCAGCATCTTCCTCCCAAGTGACGTCCATGCGTTTTTCCACACGTTTTCGCAGTTCTATTCTCAGCTCGTCTTCAGGATCTTCATCGAAGATGGGAAGGAGCGCCGCAGGGTCCCTCCGCAGGTGGTGTAGACCACACAAGCCTATCCATCGACATGCTTGGCGATCCAAGAAGTATGGGCTACTGCTGACCCAAAGTCGATCACGAGCGCGACTCTCCGGTCCTCTGGTTGTCGGATCGAGGATAACGGGGAGGTAGGTCGCAATGAAGATGATGAAGAGCACCGGCACCGACAGGTAAGTGAACCGTCGCACCCAATACATGGCGGCTTCGGTACCCGAGAGCGCTCGGCAGCAACAGGCAAATGATTCTGCGATTGGAACAAAGAAAGGTAGTATAATATATCGGTAGAGGTGTTGGTAAGTGGTATAGCAGGTCTAATTGAAGAAGATTTTGTAGATAGTCCCTGGCGAAAGGGCGAGGCGGGATGGCTGAAGATGCAGAGTGGCGACCGATCTGGCAAGGCTGCGCATCAAAGATTGCGTTCGGCTGTTTTGTTGTATACTGCAGATACAAAAATAATCGTTTGGCAGAGCCTTGTAGACTGCGATCGCAAGCAAAGAACGAATGGCTGATATCGAGAGGTCAGAGTTCCGGGGAGAGCGGGAGATCCGGGTGAGGCTGGGGCTCGGAACAGTTCTTAGACCCGACGAGGATGATTAGGAATGCAAGGCGTAGGTATTACTGTAAGTGCATCACAAAGGAGAAAAGAGTCGCTGCTGAAAAGGTTTGTCACGGCGCCCCTGGCGACATGATCGAGCTATTCGCAAGCGAGATCACAGTGGAGGCGGGGGGGAGAAGTAGATATGAAATAGAGAGCAAGAAGAATAAAAAGGCAAAAGAGGCCCGGCTGTCAGGAATGCACAAGATGTGGTTTGGCTAAGGGTGTGGCTGTTGCAGGTCGCGGTACTTGTGCCCGCAAGAGTCCAGGTACATGCAGGCATTTGGGCGGCAGGTGGCCCGCTCCTCCACCGGCACCGGCCAGGCGTAGCAGTACGGGGCGATGAGAATAGGGTCAGGGCGTGTTGGCGAAAGGCGAGAGGTAGCGGTACTTGACCAGCGCTGGGCTGCATGGCCGAATCGTGCGCCACGCGGCAACGTGGTTGGCTCCAGGCGCGTGCTTTAGTGGACTCGGCATCGCTCGGAGCCCTGGGGCGCTAGAAGCCATACGCTGCAGGCCGTGTACCGCTACCTGGCGGCGATGCCTGACCGCCCCGGCCCAGCGCCTGAGTCCGAGTACGAAGCCAGCAAGGCGCGTGGACCCCCCAAAACTCTGCAAGGACTGTCCGGCTGAGCCGCCCTGACAGGAAGCCAAGTCTTTGGGTGCCGCGCCTGCCCCCTTGTGTGGCCAATGAATCCGCTTCCTGAGATGCCAAGACCCGCATGCATTCGGCGCCACGACTGCCCTCCTTCTCTCCTTCCTCCTCACCTCAAGTAAGCACTTTGGCACTTGAGCGCCTCCAAGTAGCGGTACTGCTCGGCAGTCTGAGTGCGCTGGGCCTATTTCTGTTACTGCTGTTGCTACTGCTAGTATGCCCTACAAACCAATGGAAACAACGAGTCAAAAGACAGTTGCGCTGTTCAACTTGCCGCATGAAATCCGAATCAGCTAAAATACTTGTTTTCGCTCCTCCCGACACTTTGCGAGTTTCCGCTTCTGCTTCACATCTTTGCCCACTTCCGCAGACCCCACCTCTCTGTCTCTACATGAACTCTCCCCGCTACCCGCACTCCCCGAGAGCCTACTGGAATACAAGTAAGTCGTCTCCAGAAGGTTCGTCATATTAGCCTACTGCAGTACACGTCGTTTGCCGGCTACCTTACCCTGCAAACGTAACTGGCCGTGCGATTAAACGCATGGAATTGATTCACTGTAAACAAATATCATATCCGCTGATTTCTGATTTGTATTCGGCATTTTTACTCTTTTAACTTGTGCCGGTATTTGCTCCTGGTGCGTCTGTTCCCTGAATTCTCTGTTCTGCCGGGCCAATTCGCCCATTCCTCGGCCTCATCCCGAGCTTCCACGTTACCCGCCAGATCTTCCGCCTTCACCACATCACATAATACTCTCAGAAATTGCAATCAGATGGGTACGTCATTCATGCATAAATCACAAGCAGGGTGACAGGACTAAGGACACCACGACTCCGACGACGGCTAATTCGACCCAAGTCATATTAGACATGCGATAGCGAGTGCTGTTAAGAACTTATTTCATTGAGGCATTTTGCTAGACACTAAAAATTCCATTGGGAGACTTCTTCTTTTTCATACCCCGGACACCACTTTTTAATGCCGACCTTTTCATTGTTTTTGAAATAAGCTCAGGTACCGGTATCCGTGTATGCAACCAGGAACCTTAGTTCGCATACTACCAGACTTAGTGTTTACGTTGTAAACGGCCTGCTTACTTGTTGCGTGGCCTTGCTCAGCCTCTGCTGTTTATAGATTCATTGCCGCGGGCCGTAACAGTGTCCAGTAGTGGTGATTGATACATTGATCTCATGGATGGACCATGCATATACGCCTCATCAAATACGCTTCATATATCAGTACTGAGTACCAGACAAATAGGAAGATGGAGTCCAAGCTTGGCCCTATAATAGACTGCGTCGTACTCGTAAGCTAATACGCACTAAGACGACCCTCTCAGGGTTTTCTTTTTGGCTGTACATCAAGATGCTCAGAGTATCTGTACTTCAACCATGAGTACATATATTCGCACATCTAGACTGGCATCTGCGTTGATCGTGTCCAAACCTATGCCCAGGTCAAAATTACTATTGTGATTAGCATCTAGACCTATCTTTCAAATTCCACAATTCACACGTTTCCCTCACCCTACCACGCATCTCTAGCTCTAGCCAATGACAGTGTGTCCCATAAGCATGCGGCGAACGGGCCTCATCTTGAATCGTGGCGGCTGGCACATCAAGCCAACAACGTGCCAGCCATGTCCATTATTAGCTTCGCCTACTAAACAGACCAAATCCCGTGAACCCTTGATATTCAAAGGCCATGAGGTCGTCCCGCCGCTATATTCTAAACTCTTCCAGCCGTACAGTAGCCTAGAGCTCATTCGCAAACCAGTCTTGTCTAGACCACCACATGGCATCATCCAATGGCCAGCGCTGGCCCGTCGCGATTTAGTTGCGTATTATGCAAGGCTGTCTTCAACTCGCTTGCTATCACACATGACACTTGAATCCACCATTTACCCGGAAGCGAAAGGTGAGACGAGCGATAACGGCGATTCTATATACACCAGCTCGCGATGTTGATCCCGCTTTGTTGTGCTAAGTATGCACTCGCCGTCTATTATATCCATATTGTTATTTCTTGTGTGAATATCATCCGTAGCCACTGAGAGGGTGGCGTGCTTGGTGATGGTATCTCAATTTGCCAGACGAGAGGCATTGCCCAAGCCAGTAAGGGACCCACAACCACGACACTAACTCAGTCACCGTCCATTCGACTTACAGAACCTCGTCTTTCAAACATGTGGCGGACCATGCATGATGTATTCATCCATGGACTTTTCATGAGGCAATTCGGAGTCTTCTCTAAATACTGAGATTAGCCAGCTCCATGGCACATACGACCATATCCATTGGAAAATACGGGATCCCGTCTGCTCTCCCAGAGTCAAGCCAATGAGAGGCAGATTAGTAGTTGAGTGGGTGACCATCAGCGAACACCGGCTGTTGTATGTTTTTGCTTTTTTGCTTCTTTTATTTTGTATTGCTTTTCGTATTGTGGTCAGTGGAGCTGTCGAAGCATCATGCCGGATACCTCATTGGACATCTTTCTTATCATATGCTATGCGGACAACAAATTCTCGGTCGCTCGTTGAGATTGGATGAACTCGCGTAGGTTAACTATAATGGGTATTATTTTCAAAGTCTGTTAGCGTGCAAAAGTAAATGCTCCCCGTATCAACCCTATCCAAGCATTATCACATCTCCGTCGTCTTCATCCTCTTCGTCATCCTCGTCTTCATCGTCATCTTCATCTTCTTCATCAAAGCCAGCACGCATTCTTGCCGGTGCGTCGCTGTCTTCATCGATGTCGCTGAGGCTGTCATTATTATTGTCCTCTTCGTCTCCCTGTATTCCCAAGAGCTCATCCCAATGGCCCGGCGTAGGTGTAGATAGCGTAGTTGAGTCGGGGGCGGGGATAACGCCCCTGTCTGTTGCCGCCGATGTGCTTCTGATAGCAGAAGCCCTCCTTCGTCTGCCACCTTGGCGGCCCTGGCTCCGTCTTGTATACCGGCGTTCCCCCCTGTCGCTCTGGCTGGCACCATTGCTTTGTTCCACACCAAGACTAGGCTTTTTCCTCCTAGGTTTGAAATCAGGCCCCTTTCTATCATCAAAGTCCTTTCCAGCGCCATCCACCGCATAAACGGTAACTTCATCTTCGTCCCCCCTTTTCTTCTTGAGGGCGATCAGATTCTCTAAGAAACGCAGCTGTTGCGCCCTCTCGCCTGTTCTATCTTTCCCCGGGGGGATGCGAATGTTCCATTCTTCGCGAATAGCCTTCAATGAGTCCTTCTGTACGCCTTTGGGTTTCAAAGTCTTTTCAGTGGTCAGGATACGGGAGGAGCTGGCCCCAAGAATATCCACACCGCCAGAGAGATGGCGAAGCGCGGGTAATTGGGTAGCATTTTTGGCCTCGCGATCTGCCAAGATTGCCTCTGTTCCGATAACTTCTGCCCACTGACCCTCAAACACTCGGCCTCTGTAGGATATAATCGGGTTGCGAGAGTGGAGTTCCAGTATCTGAATCTCTTCCAGAGGTTCGTTAGAGTCGTTATCATCTGCTATTGGCTCAACCGCCTCTTTCATAGCCGCATCTTCTCTCTCTTTTCCTTTCCCTTTGTCCTTCTGCACTGGCTTCGCAACTTTCGTAGGGTTGCTAATCGCTCTTAGACGGGGATCTATATTGGCGTCTTCTTCATTTTCCTCCTCTTCTCCAGGTGCATCTTCTTCTTGAATTTCTTCTTCAGGGGCGCCACCATTGCCCTGGCCGTCGTCTTCGACGTTGTTAATCTCGTTATGACCTGAGTCGTGTGGACCAACAACTTGTTTATCGTGCTTGACGTCTGCATTATTGTTATCAGCGTACTGGTCGGACCAATTCTTGTAATATCCTCCACGGCTATGATGATGAGCCTTTGCTGGGCGCTCTTTGAACTCGGGGTATGATAGATCAAGCGTTAGATAGTAGACCTAGAGAGAAGAATGATTTAGCATTCGCGAATGTGAAATCCTCATTGTGTTGAAGCATGAGAGATTACCTCCGTCTCAGTCGTGGAGTATTCATATTCCCACTCGTCCTGGTCATCCTGTGAGACCTGTTCCAAGACCTTGTCGACATGCAAAGCTCCAGGCTCCTCGTCTAGCCATGGAGATATTTTTGATTTCGCTGCCAATAATTCTGAAGTTGACGCTGCGGTTGCCATGGTGGATACAGCATACATACACCCTTGCCTTGGACCAGCACGGTTGGGAAATCGAGTGCGATATTGCGATTAATTTCAAGTAGATAAGAAAAGCTCCTCGTCTGGCTTCTAACTTCAATTGAACTCCGCGAAACGCGCAAACCAGGTCGAGCTTCAAGCCAGAGGCTCCATTACGTATAGCAAAAAGAGCGTTAGCAGATGCAGGAATAGCTTTGGCGGGCTGAAGCTCTTGACAAGTCCAATACGACCCTACGCCGCCCGTTTCCAGCTTAGCGCGCGACTGATCAAGACTAGACCCCGCTATCGCTCTCAAGTGCCGTTATCAGGGCTACGATAAGAAATTCGAGACTCACTCCATCGTGGGTTGACTCTTCGACTCAGACTCCAGCTTGACTCACAAATTGCAAGGGAGGAATATTTGACTAATAATAATTCCGCCAATCTCAGAGAATCAGCATCAGTACAGAGCGGTGTCTCGTTTCTCGCACACAAATCAACTTGGCTAAACCCTTCGACCGTACACATCTCACTTATTCCCAGAACCCCGCGGAACATTTTTGCAAAACAGCAGCGGGCAAGATGCCCACAGTTCACCTCCTAGATTACGTGGCCGGCAATATCCGCAGTCTGGTAAATGCCATTGAGAAGCTGGGATATGAGGTTGACTGGATCAGATCTCCTGAAGATGTACCCCGGGCAGAGGTTTGTTTGGATGGCCCTTTAACAACCAATTGGGCCGCTTTGCTCACCTATTCCTGACAGAAACTCATTCTGCCTGGCGTCGGCCACTTCGGCCACTGTATGACCCAGCTTGGCCAGGCGGGCTACTTACCTGCCATTAAAAAGCACATTGAAGCCGGCAAACCATTCATGGGCATCTGTGTTGGCCTTCAAGCCATCTTTGAAGGTTCAGAAGAGGATCCTGAGGTCCCCGGCCTCGGCCTGGTTCCTTCCAAACTCACCAAGTTTGATGACTCCGATAAGTCAGTACCGCACATTGGATGGAACAATGCCAACACTGGAGGCAAGGTCATGTACGACCTGAGCCCGGACTCAAAATACTACTACGTCCACACTTACAAGTCCCCCTACAACAAGGCCGACTTCGAAGCTCAGGGCTGGACTGTTGCGACGGGAACCTACGGAAACGAGACTTTTGTCGGCGCCATTGCAAAGGGCAACATCTATGCCACCCAATTCCACCCAGAAAAGTCAGGCGTTGCTGGCCTCCGAACGATTCGAGCCTTTCTGACCGGCTCCGGAGCGCAAAACCTCGGAGCTGACACGCCATCCGGCGCAGCGTCGACCGAGCACAAGGACGGCCTCACTCGCCGCCTCATTGCCTGTCTTGACGTACGAACAAATGACCAGGGCGATTTGGTCGTCACAAAGGGTGACCAGTACGATGTCCGTGAAAAGGGCGCTGACCGCAATGTCCGAAACCTGGGCAAGCCCGTTGAGATGGCCAAGAAGTACTACGAATCCGGTGCCGATGAAGTCACCTTCCTCAACATCACCTCCTTCCGGGATTGCCCTCTCGCCGACCTTCCCATGTTGGAGGTTCTCCGACAGACATCACAGACTGTCTTCGTGCCGCTCACCATCGGTGGTGGCATCCGCGACACCGTCGACACCGACGGCACAAAGGTCTCGGCCCTGGACATCGCCACCATGTATTTTAAATCCGGCGCCGACAAGGTCTCCATCGGCTCCGACGCCGTACTCGCCGCCGAAGAATACTACTCCCTCGGCAAGAAGCTCTTCGGCAACACGGCCATTGAGCAAATCTCCCGCGCCTACGGCAGACAAGCCGTCGTCGTTAGCATTGACCCCAAGCGCGTCTACGTCCCCAAACTCGACGCCACCCGCCACGCCATCATCAACACCAAGTTCCCCGGCCCCAAGGGCGAGGCCTTTTGCTGGTACGCCTGCACCATCAAGGGCGGCCGCGAGACCCGCGACATGGACGTCGTGGAGCTCACGCAGGCCGTCGAGGCCATGGGCGCCGGTGAGATTCTGCTCAACTGCATTGACAAAGACGGCACAAACAGCGGTTTTGACCTTGAGCTCATCGAGCAGGTCAAGAAGGCCGTCAAGATTCCCGTCATTGCGTCGAGCGGTGCTGGTAACCCGGGCCACTTTGAGGAGGTGTTTGAGAAGACTACTACGGATGCCGCTCTTGGTGCGGGCATGTTCCACAGAGGAGAGTACACTGTAAAACAGGTCAAGGACTTCTTACAGGAAAAGGGCTTGGTGGTCCGACAATTTGAGGGAGACCTATGATTTAGAGATGGCTACGGAGAGAGAAAAGTTGTTATAGAATATTCACAAGATGTATATGGTACATGATACTTGTATGTTAATGATAGTTTATGTTAGAGATATTATGTGAAAGAAGCTTGAACAATGTTCCATTCTCAAGCCATTAACTGGCAACTACCTGAATAACTGCTTGGCCTAAACCGGTCCGGACTACTCCAGTACCGTCTAATCCTTGTGAGCCGTGACTCCAAATGCAGAAGAAACAAAATATTGACGTTTATTCAGAGGCAGGTCGCACCAAAAACAACAATGACCAACAAGCAGAAATGCCAACAGCGCCAACGTAAAGAAAAGTAAAACTTTGAAGTGTATGATTACCGTTCTAGGCCCATAGAATCATGGAAACAAGCGGAATCACTACCAACGCCGGTTGGCCCCTCTGCTGGTCATGCACAATCAACACAATCAAACACTGATTAAGACAGATCGCAAAAGAAATCAATCCGGTTACGAAACAAGGCAATATGTTCTCTCAATGGGCGAACGGGCAGAAAAAAAGAACGAAAGAGAGAAAGAAGCAAAGAAGCAATTGGGTGCAGGAGACTAGAGCTCCATGCCCATAAAGATCCACCGGGTGCTAGTCACGTCCAGGTCGTGTGCCCAGTGATCCAGCGTGGCCATGTCGAAACCAACCCATTGAAGGCTCTTGATTAGATCGTGAGTGTTTTCCGCAGGCATGCGACGATCAAGACATGTGACGATCTGGCTACAAGCCAAAGGACCATCAGCAATGTCGATGAGCGCCATAAGACTATGTAGAGGGAGATATTGTCAGCATTTGGATATCAAATCATTGGGGCAGAAGAGAGGTATATGCTTACGCCTTTTTCAAGTCTCTCCCTAGCACGCCTTCAGTGTCGAAGAAGATGAAAAGTGATTTCTCTTTCCCATCGTCAGCCACAAAGGCGCGGAAGCTCGCTCCACCGGCATAGTCCCAGACTTCCATCCAGGCCTCGATCCGCGGGCCAGCCGGAACGTCGTCCGGGCCCTGGTTGAATGGATCCGCGAGGTGGTTGTCTGGTGGCGGCGATTGCAAATAAGCACCTGTCAAGCCGGAGCCATGAACAGACAGGTTCCTCTCACCAAGGAACACGGTCTTCATGGTCTCACAGAAGAATCTCTCACATTCTTCCCTGATCATGAGTGCTGCCCCCCCTCGTCGCTCCAGGCGGCGGCCCGGAATGTCGCGCTTCTTCTGCTTAGGAAGAAGGGCGAGCTCGTTGGACGAGGTTAGTGCGGCGAGGGGGGGACTTGAAGGAGGAGAAGGCAGGCCTGAGGAAGGGACCTCAGGAATACCACTCCGCCCCTGTAAAGAAGACAAAGAGAAAAGATTAGCATTATGATTTTTGAAGAAACTTCATTTTGAGGCTGCGACTTAGACGTACCTGTAACCCCCGTAGTGCAGTAGTGGAGGCCCTTGAGGTTCGCGGCAGAGTCCACGACGTAGCAGGAGGCAAGGACATTGACGCGGGCAGTCAAGTCCTCGCCATAATTACTACTGTAATTTATACTTTGGTTACTCATTGGCGCCATTGCGATGGAGTTCCACGGTGGTTGCTGGGAGAATCTGGCTGGTGAAAGTTGCTGCAAGGATACCGAGCTGAGAGCTAGGTCGACCGAGGGTGGCAAAATTGGTGCGGTGGTGTTGCAGAGCGGCGGTGCGTTCAAAATTCTGTCTGGTCGAAGAATCGAATTGGAGAGCGATAATTTATAGTCTTGAGCGAAGCGTTGCAGATTGTATTTCACAATTCAGTTTCCGTGGATGTCTCCGAACGGGCGTTTTGTCGAAAGAGTTTCGATGCGGTTTGGTGTAGCCGAAGTTTGACGGAAGAGAAGAGAAAAAAAAAGGCGGAGAAGAGGAAGTGCGTGCGCTGCGAACTTTAACAGGACCCTGTGTGGCTCCCTTTTCCTACTCCAGTGCTGACTAGACGCTTCTGGAGCATGACTTAGCAGCCCGCTTACAGCGGTTCAGCGGCGCTTTCGGTGCCAATCATCCGGGTCGCCAAGCCCACATGTTGGGCCGCTCTGATGCACGGGTTCGGGCCTGTGCACACTGTCTCAGGGCGCACACGCTGCGTGCGGTGAGACAGTGCGACGGCGCCACTGTGTTTGCTGCTTGGCCGTGGCACCGAGCTTCCGTTTTGACATGACAGGCGGAGATGACGAAATGCGGTGCGGCCAAGGCCGTTGCCCGGCTATATTCCTTGTATGCAGCGATTCGTATCTGGCAATAGGGGGCTGGCTGGCTGGCTGGTTAATGTTCAATGTAGGTGTTATGTAGAGAGCGTGCATTGCGTGCATCAAAGTGCTTACAGCGTCAAACATGCTCCCGTATTCGACGCTGGTTGCTCTGTAAGGTGGTTAATCACAGGGGGCTCTAGCTGTTAGCTCTAGCCTTGATTTAGCTCTACGTACTTTAGGGAGGGCTAGAGGTAGGAGCTAGTGACGAGAAGCCTTGACAAACTGCGTCTAGTTGAAACTCGTCTGTCTGATCACACGCATCTTGCCCTTCATCGGACCTCAATACTGCCATCTGACTATATCTTTGCCACTGGTGTCATGGCAATTAAAACTTACCTGATTCTGGATATACAACCAACGTCCAATCTGAGACATATATACACATACATTTGCCGGCAATGTAACACACTCGGCGATGTTATAAGACCCTGCGAGTATTTGTCTCGGTCTTCAGATGCATCAAGAAGCAATTTCAAATCAGAGCGGGATACAAACGTGAAAAAAAAAGGGTAAAATATCTGCATTTCCATACTCCTACATCGTCCGCAAATGTATATCCTCATGTATGCTATGACCACTAGTTACACCCCATCAAAGCAGATGGGCTCTTTGACCATCCATCTCGCTACCCAAACGATGTATCAAGTATAGATTTCCATGACCCTCTGCAGCCCAATCGTCACAAAGCATATACAATAAACAAATGTGCCAAGCCCATTGCTTTGGCAAATGCGCCTGGTTTAAATAGGGGAAAACATTAAAGCAAAAAAGCAAAGCAAAGCAAAGCAAAATAAAGCAAAGGGGAAAAAACCACACAAACTCTCCAGCTCTTCCTCTTACTCATCCATATCTCGCACTGAGGCTCGCAAAGGCATCAGGGCTGTGTCGCCCGTTTGTCCATGCCAAGTCCATCCCCAAATTCATGCTTTCCCTGCTAATCTTCCGATCTGTGGCAAAAGGGTCTGGGGCCGCCGCCGCAGGCCCACTCTTCATGAATGGGTTGTTGTTACCTGCAGTGGGTTGCGAAGAGACTAAGGGTGACTGTGTCGGAGCTGCCGCGGGCTGCATAGGCATAGGCGGCATTGGTTGTGCTGGCATAACCCTATCCTCTGGGATGGCTGGTGGTTGTGCGTGCATATTAGGTTCAGAGGCAGAAGGGCGTGCCGCCTGCTGTTGGCCATATAGAGCCAGGATCGAGGCCTTGTCTTGACGCTGAGGCTGATAGTACTGCTGCTGCTGACCAAAGAACTGAGGTTGCTGTTGCTGCTGACCAAAGAATTGGGGCTGTTGTTGCTGCTGTAGCTGCTGCTGCTGCTGCTGCTGTTGCTGGTACTGCTGTTGCTGGTACTGTACGCCATTGTTCAAAAAGGGGTTTGTCCCGGTCAAATGAGGCTGAAGTGGCATGGGGCTCTGGAACATGGTAGGCAGAGACTGCTCGGGAATCTGTGTGAGAGAGGGCGAGGATATCCTTGTTGGGGATCGTGTGAATGGGTTGTTCCCATATGCCGCGGCTTGATTCGTATTTAATGACAGACTTTGCTGCGGCGCCTGCTGCGGTTGTTGTTGCTGGAACGTGGGCTGCGTCTGCGTAAAAAACGGATTATAGCCAGTTTGCTGAGGTGCCAGGGGTTGTGCAGCAGGTTGGGGGTACGTCATGCTGCTTTGGAAGCCTGGACTCTGGTATTGCTGAGGAATTGGCTGAGCAGCTTGCTGTGGCTGATACAACGTGTATTGATGATGCTGCGGCGGCGAGATGACTCCGCCAGTGTGATGAGGGAACAGGGATTGAGCTGCTGGAGACAAAGACATGTTCTGGAACGCTTGGGTGAGGTTGGCCTGTGGTGCTGGAGCTCCGTAGGGATTCGTCGACGTTATAAAAGGGTTATTGGTTTGAAGCGTTCCAGTAGAATGGGCCGTCTGCGGCTGGGCCGGGGGAAATATATCAAAGGGGTTTGTGGACGCGGCCGTCGCTGTCGTCGGTCGTTCTGAAGTCACGTCCTTGTGCTGTACGCTCAAGCCTAGGTTGAGGCCTGCAGGATTCGAACCTACGGGCGTCAATGATCTTGAAGTTCGCAACGTTCGCTCAGCTGCTGCCGGAACGGGCCCCGGGGATTGTCCATCGCCCTCGCCGAGTCGAACGAGCGCCTCGACAGCGCGCTCCAAGTTGCCGTTTACTCCTCTCAGAATCGTTGCGTTTCGGTGATCGTCTTGGAAGCCCATGTCTCGTAGTCTCGCCAGCTTCTTATCCGTATCGCCCTGGCCATAATCCACGGCGGCCCCAAAGACTTTCGATTGCTTGTTTGCATGGTTCGACGAGTTACCGGAACCGGAATTGGACTTCGCAAGTTCCTGCGCAGCGGCTGCCTTGGCCTCCTTTTTCGCCCGGGAAGATAGTGGGAATATCGACGAGGCCGATCTAAACCCAAACTTGGAATTCTTGGGCGGGAGCGGTGGCGGAATGCCTTCCTCCAGCTGTGGTTTCTTGAGCCTGCCACCCTGACCAGCGTTGGTGACATATTTTTGCCTGATGAACCTCTCCATTGCCGAGTCTGCTTCGTCCACATCGATGGGGATCGACGGCTCCTTATTCTCGGGGTTATATACTTTATTGGAAGCATTGTTGCCCACCTTTTTCATATGCTTTAACCAAATCAAATCAGCTTCAAAGACGTTCACAAGCTCAAACACGAAGAACGGTATTCACTCACGTCGACTTGCTCGTTTGTCCAGGAATCCATACTCAGCGACTTCACTTTGGATATGTGCGTGCCCAATTTCCGATGAATCGTCGCGCATCGCATGCACAGGAAGATGCCGAGCTGTGAATTGCTTCAGTTAGCACATATCATCTCAAACCACGAAGCGGGCGACCGGCAACGGCCTATCGCGAGAGGGAAATCGTACGCTCCATGATGCCCAGGCTGTAACACAGAGTAGGTGGTTAGCAAGTGGTTGTACCAGATGTGTGAACAGAGAGACGCTGATGCATACATGGATTCCGCGCGCGGCAGTCGGCGCACTGGTCATTGCCCGGCACGGAGTGTACCAGCTCTTGGAGAATCGCCTCGTTACGCGCCTGCTGGCGCTTGCTCAACGCCCCCGTCATGACGCCGTCTTGTCTGGCTGGCGATTACCTGCTACTTCGTTGACAAGCGAGAGTAGCGAAAGGGACTGCGTGCGCGTGTTGAAGGTTCGGCGTGGGAGGACCGGGGTGCTGCGTCGTACCCAAGCAAGCAGAGGCCCAGGCGGATTCGATTGATTTTCGACGGCTGGCGGGCTGTAAGATGAGGCTTTGGAATCAGACCAGGGTCATGGCGATGGAGGCAGGCAAGGAGGGGCCGTGCAACTGGCACACTGGGCCGCGCAGAGGATATCGACGATGCCGCCAGCAAACTCGCAGACGACGGTGAAAGCAAACGCGAGGCACAGCAAAAAGAAGCCCAACGGTCAAATCCAAGCAAGAAAAAGAGACGATGCGAACGCAGCGAAGAAATGGTGCTAGCGAGGCGAGCGACTCATGGGTGTTGCGATTCGATTCCTGACTTATCCACTGGGGGAAAAGGAGAAGCATCGAATCATTTCCCGTCTTTCATTTTAGCCTGCAGCTGCCACACGACCAGCCAAGACACAGCGCCACAGCGCATGTGGGGAAGCACATTGTTCCAGAGAAGCGCTGGGCTCAGGGCCTGCAGACGCCTGTGCCCAGGCGAGTTAGCGGCCCGCCGGCGCAGCGCTCCAGCGATGTTTTGGGAGCTTCAGAGGATCTTGTTCGTATTTGGGCGCAGCAAGGCACCGACGAAGACCCGGAGTGGCGGGGCTAATCGATAAGGCTATGAGAATTCTAAACGGCGTGCTCAAAGCCATGTGCGGATGAATCACTAGCGATCTGAGGGAAGCAAAGCTCAGGAGGTCAATCTAAGCTCAATCTCCCTCTCGATAGCGGTTGAGTTGCAGTAGGAGTAGGAGGAGCAGGCACGGATCGGCCATTGGCTGCGCTGCCCACCCATTCTGGTCGCGTCCGTAGCATTGGCCCCATCCGGCAACGGTGATGTCAAAGCGCTTGCGGTCTTCTATTAGATTGAACACTCGCTCGAAGGACTGACAGCCAGAACAGGATTTGTCGAGCGCAGGCTCAGTAGATTCCCTGACTTTGTAATCTACACACGATGGCAATTGGGTAGTTAGGCAATTTGTTTACTTCTGTCTCCCAAAATATTGAAAACTTTGCAAATTCCTCCTCTCCCGGTTCATCTTCGCCCGCCTCTTCTTCATTGATTCTCCCGACTTGGACCCAGAATGACGGCACCAGCGCCGGCTTCATTGAGTCAAGATCCGGCATATGCCACTGCTATATAATACACAATACTATTTTCAGAGATGCTGTCACTCACGTGCCCCTGACCCGAGGCTCCGGTCATGCCGGCCTATCGAGATTTCTCGGGAGTAGAATTATTCGGAGCATTCCAGGTTAAGCTGTTTCCGAGGATCAGTTGTAAAAGCCTGCCTCGGAAGCCCGTTGACGCCGCGGTGGTGCCACTGACGCCGAGCTTCCTGTAAGCCTAGCGGCCCTCTAATCTAGTTCACACGGATGATAAAAAGGAAAAAAGAATCAATGGAAAGAAAACGGGGGCGGTCAACGAGCTGGTGGACGCCTCTGGAAGCGAAATTTGTCAACGCCCAGCTAAATGGCTCGGACGCATCCGCCACGCTGCCCGTGCCTTGCGCGATCCCTCAGTCCGCCGTTACCAGGTCCGCTTTTCCGCCTGTCGCCGTTTGTTCCCAACCTCGCGCCGACAGGGCCGGACTGCTATTAGTATAGCAGGACCCCTACGCGATGGATGCTGACGGCCGTGCCAAGTCCCCTCGATGTTATACGAATGCCTTGTATGGATCTGTAGGCCACTAACAAGAGCCCGGGCTGACGGCGATGCTGAGCTGCTGTGCTGCCTGCTGAATAAGACCCCGGCCACAGCCACTGAGTGCAACCCACAGCACGGCTGCTCGCTCCAAGACCCAGCCACAGCCCCGTAGAGCCCCCCCGAGACGCAACCCGCGGTGCGAAGCTACCCGCAACTTGTTGGCTAACGTGGTCTGTACCGTCTCCAGCTCTAGCTTCAGCTCAATCTCGCTCAAAACCTCATCTTTGGGACGCTTCCCAGCCACACGCAATCTTACTTATTTGCTCGGTCAGCTTGTCTTAGCTTTGTCTATCCCGTAGCCGACGAACCCGACTGCAAACCTACGATATCGGGCTGGTTCTGCGATGGAACAGGAGCTTTAAAACACGCAGCCTGTTTCGTGACTTTTTGTTTCATATCCGACATCTCGAGCCTTCGTTTGACCCATATCAACAGCAATGGCTGGCATAGAGAGACTAGAGGTCCACAGCAGGGTAAGGCCGCTCAATTCTTTTCCCCTTGATGGTATCACGAGCTGTACATGGCTGACAGAATCGCATAGTCCTACATCGTGCGATGGGTCAAGGTCGAGGAGGGGAACACCCTCTCCTGGAGCGTACAGCCACACAAAAAGTCTATGTGAGCAGCTGCCAGAAAGCCAATGTAGTGTGGCATAACCATGGCTAATTATACAATCTACAGAAACTTCGGAATCGTCAAGCACCCGGGCAGCGGTGCCACAGGTCTCTCTTCCACGCCGGGCGACGATTTTCATAATGCAACCAATACACAAGGAGTTGATGAGGGCAAGGCAAGCCGATTCGCCAAGAAAGACACCACAGCCCAAGAGCTTCTCTCCAGCAAAGGCTTTATATCAATAAAATGGTTCGGAAAGTGCGAGGCGGACAAGGTATCCATGGGGGCCTACGACGTTCCGCCGGGGCAGACGGGCATGTATGGCTTGGTCTTTGACAACACATTTTCCAAGCAGACGTCCAAGACGGCGACCTTTGTTGTCCTGACATATCCCACCGGTGCCGCCCCCCAGAGTGCCAACCACCTCCCGAACCTCCAGATGCCGAATGCCAGCCAGACCAGCTTGGGGGTGCATACCAGCCCGCCTCAAGAGGCCGACCCCTCTGCATCTGTGGATAGCTTCCATAGCCACCCAAGCAAGGGCCATGCCCGCAATCCGTCCGAAACAACCGTTCCAGCAAACTATCATGTTGGAACGCTCTCAAAGCGTCGAAGAAAGAAGGGACAAGGATATGCCCGCCGCTATTTTTCTCTCGATTACTCTACCTGCACCTTGTCATATTACTACAATCGAAACTCGTCTGCTCTTCGCGGTGCTATTCCTCTTAGCTTGGCTGCTATTGCTGCTGATGAGAGAAGAAGGGAAATCAGCATAGACTCGGGGGCAGAAGTATGGCACCTCAAGGCGCCCAATGATAAAGAGTTCCAAGAATGGGCCCGAGCCCTTGAGAAAGCAAGTAAACTGGCGAGAGGGCTCGAAAGCTTGCCACAGCAGCCCAAGCTTGGCTTACAGGTCGATCATCGTACTCTACAACAGGGTCAAAGCTCTACCGGCAACCATGGGGGCCATGGTGAAGAGGTGGAATGGCAGCAGGTCGAGACCCTGGTTAGCCGTGTGGTTGGAACTCGTGATGCCTTGCGCCGTTTGACCAAGGAGGTTGCTGCTCTGCCAAGACCGACTTCGTCATCATCTCACCATCTCCAAAGCCCATCAGGGAGCGCTGTTGAAGATAATGGCGACGGAGCGGAGCGTAAGTCGTTCTGGAAACGCAAATCTAGCTCGTCCGTGTCAATGCCTCCGGGATTGCATCCTCACTTTTCGCCAGGCGAAGATCATGATGACTCGAATAAACGCAGATCGAAGGGAACGACACAGGAAGAAAAGTCTCTGCAAGATCACTGTGCGGCCCTGCTGGCTGATTTGGACTCCGTTGTCAGCGAGTTTACCATTCTCATCAACAACAGCAAACGGCGTCGAATGCCGGTGCCCAAATCCGCCGATGTTGCCTCACGCCTGAGTTTGGATACGACCTCTACTGGAGATGAGTTCTTTGACGCAGAAGATGCCGGCGCAAGCATTGCCAAGATCGATGCTAGCGACGACGAGACGCATGAGTCTGAAGCTGAAGGCGATGATGCCTCATCTCACGATGGCTCGTCCATCTCATCTGTGGAAGAAGAGGAAGTGCGTGGGGGCGCCAATGCGCTGTTTCCAGTCAAGCCAAAGAGTCTTGCTCCTCTGCCTCTTGATGTCGCGGTCTCCCGTAGAACTGGCATACCACCTGCCATGGTCTTGCCGCCCAGTCTGATTGCGTTTGTCCGAAAGAATGTCGGCAAGGATCTCAGCACCATTAGCATGCCAGTTTCGGCAAACGAGCCGATTTCTTTGCTTCAGAAGATTGCCGAGCAGTTGGAATATGCGCAGCTTTTGGACCAGGCTGTCAAGCGTGGATCGGTAACCGAGCGACTGCTGTATGTTACCGCCTTTGCTGTCTCACAGTTTAGCAGTGGTCGTGCCAAGGAGCGAGCCATCCGCAAACCGTTTAATCCTCTGCTAGGCGAGACGTTTGAACTGGTGCGCTCGAGCAAGGAAACCCCCGGAGGATTCCGACTGCTCGTGGAGAAGGTTCAGCATCGACCTGTCAAACTGGCTATGCAGGCCGAATCAGCTAGTTGGTCACTTTCTCAATCTGCCGCCCCGGGGCAGAAGTTTTGGGGTAAAAGTGCCGAGATTACGACTGATGGACGGGTCAGAGTTGTGCTCCGTCTGCCAGACGGATCTGATGAGCTGTACTCGTGGAACATTGCTACCATGTTTTTGCGAAACGTGGTAATGGGCGAGAAGTATGTGGAGCCTGTCGGCACGATGAATGTGGTAAACGACACAACTGGCCACAAAGCAGCCGTAGAGTTTAGAAGCAAGGGCATGTTTGGCGGAAGAGCCGAAGATGTCAATGTGGAGACATTTGATTCCAAGGGCAGCAACACAGGCAGCGGATTGACTGGTACATGGACAGGAGGACTCAAGACAGCTGGCCCCGGAAAGTCAGGTGGTGAAGAGATTTGGCACGTCGGCGGCATGGTTGACAATCCTGCACAGACCTACGGCATGACAGCATTCGCAGCCTCGCTGAACGAAATCACGGAGATTGAGAAGGGCAAGCTGCCGCCAACCGATTGCAGATTGCGACCTGATCAGCGTCTTGCCGAGCAGGGCAACCTAGACGAAGCCGAGATTTGGAAGGTGAAGCTCGAGGAAGCACAGCGAGCCCGCCGCCGTGTCACCGAGGAGCGAGGCGAATCGCACAAGCCAAGATGGTTCGTCAAGGCGGACGAGTCTCCGGAAGGAGAGGAAGTATGGAGAATCAAGACTGGCAAGGAGAGTTACTGGGAGGAGCGCTCCCGGGGCGCCTGGACCGGCGTCGAAGAGATATTTAGCACGCCTGAGGAGTAGAGCTTTCTTTCCGGACAATGTTTTTGCTTCCCTTGGATAAATAATGGCGGTAGAAGCGGTTCGTTTTAGAGTCTAAGCTTATCTTCTTTTTTTGCTTTCCTTCTTTTTTTTTTTTCCACTTCCCCCTTTGACTACTGGGAAATTTAAAGAATTAGATTATAAAAGGGCGGGATGGATATATCAATATGAAGTATGAATGTTATGACCTCTTATAACTTGCAATGTTGTTACAATATTTGTTTTTCCTGCTCAACCTTCTTCGTGTGATTTGCGATGGATGTAGGCAGGGCAGGTAAGGCTACGGAGCAGATGGAGAGGTCAAGAAGACTGCTTGATACAGGGATAGATAAGGAGTTGAGTTCTTGGCAGATCGCAATCTGGATCTTGAGTTAGCGAGGAGGAAAGGAGAAGGAGTAGATACTGATGATGGCAGATACGAATCAGTTGCGTCACTTTTAGATACCATGGATATTTGTGGTTGTTTGAAAGCTACTGTACAAGGTGCCTACAATCTGCCAAGGTGCGAAAAGAAAGAGGGAATTCTTGAACAATAACACATATTTCTCAACTTTACATACGGCAATAATAATATTATCTACTGCTGCTACTGCTACTATTACTGCTACTAAGCCATAGCTAAGGTCTAATGCTAAACAATAAACTGGATAGGTAGGGGAGTAGGGAGATAAGAAGAGAGCAGCTGATCGGTTATCCCCGTGTTATTTTTGGGTTATATCCATGATGTGTATGAAACCTGATTTTGATAACGGAAGCTTCACCGGCATTATTCCAAGAATGCGATAGGAGGTTTACGGAGATGCAAGGTTCCCAAGGAATACATGTACAGTACGTACATACGAGTAGTATGCCCTAGCTGACAAGCAACAGCAAGATCGCTGCGCCGATTCAAATTTCCGCATCTCAGAGTGTCTCAAAAAAAGAAGAGCACAAAATCGCCGATCCAAAAAAAATCGGTTCGGTTAGAAACCTAGCGGCATTAACATTGGCCAAACAAGCTTCTTTAGAGTCTCCAGACCCAAAAAGAGCTTGTTTTGAGTGGTGAGTGGCAGCGGCAACGCTGTGCCGGGCGGCTTGTTCATGCAGCAGCTGGAAGCGCACAAATGTGGTGATGGCCCCTGACGATCAGAAACTTGGAAGCTTTATTGTGGGCTTCTGGAACCAGTGCGGGTTGCAGCTCCTGGGGGTGGCGGCGCACGTTGGGATGGAACCCATGGGATCTAATCCTCTCGAAAGAGGCTTGGTTTTATTCTAAAATTTAAGGTGAGGACCAGAGGGGGATGCCGAGCCGGGAGAGAGGTTGGAAATGTTCCGGCAGGATGATGCGATCGATGGTCTAAGGCAGGGCTTCCCCTCGCCTCGGATATTCAGCTCTTGGTGATTCAGTGAAAGAATCGTCAACAATGTGATTTTCTACGGTCGAGTTGCTGCATTTTATTGGCAAACAGCTCTGTAAGCTAAATTGTCTAGCTGCCCTCCAAAGGCCTCCAGCTCTCTGTGATTCGCTTCTCGCTCGCTGAGCATGAATACCGTGTGCTCTATCCTCGCATGTACGGTGAAAATCTCCAGCTAGATCCAAGCCGTACGGCTTCACGATGCAGACACTGGAAGGTGGATTCCGAGAGGGGCGCTGGCAGGGGTAATGCGGGAACATTTAACCTTGGAAGTCTATTCTAAGCCTTCCAAGCCTCCACTCACGACGACGACCAAGTTTCAAGTTTTGGAGCGTCCGCCTATCAGTCGTCACGAAGACGCATTGAATCAGACGTGCAAATTTGTTTGTATCTGGGATGGGATGCTGTTTAATAGAGCATGATGATTCACTGTATCGAATACATTGCAGGTGTCTGTTTATTATTCCATGATTTGGAGCATCTATCCGAACTGTGAATAGCAATATGCAGAAGCAAAAGAAGCTACTTAAAGACCAAACACCTCAACAACTTGTGGAGCAATGACGATCCATATATGTCACTCACCGTATACCTATCAGAATATGCAGACAATACACAGATTTTCTTTTTCTCGTGTTAGCCGAGCCTCGTCTGGTTTGTAGCACCCACTGGCGATACGAGCGTTGGCATCGCAAATAGACTTTGGCATCGCGCGCTGGAGAATCCCATAGTCGATACGCCACGCTTCCTTGGAGCAAAAGAGGCCTTTAATTGAGTTTTTACCCCTTCTTTACTCTAGACACTGTTTTTTTATTGGTCTATCCCGTCCGCAGGTACAGACACAGCTTCTTTGCTTCTTCTCCCAAGCTGGTCCACAGAAAACACGAAGCCTCCGCGCAGTGTCTCACACTGTCTGCCTATCACAACCTCGCCATTTCACCGCCGTCTGTCTCTCCCTACCGTGACTGAACTTGCTTAGTGATTGGTAGCTCAGCATAGCCAGCTGGTGGTTTCCAAGTGGCGCCGGTCAGTGGATCATGCAATCCGTTTCCATGTGGGTTTTGTGTGCGACGCTCCCGGGCCAGTTGCTGGCGGCTTCAGTGTGCGCAGCAGTAGTACCTGGTAGCATCAATCGATGAATGTGCTACTGCTACCACCTACACTTGGGCTAGAGCAATGTGATGCAGCAATGGAGATCAGTATTCCCCAGGGCCCGCTAAAGGGCGCGAGCAGTCCTTCTCGGTGCGCGCCCAGGCGTGGATGTTGTGGTTTCTGGCATTAAATATCGAGGCCCTCCATTCCAGCTGCCCTTCTCCTGCCCTTTTCTTCTCTCCCTCCTCCCTCTTCTTCCCAGAACATCCTCTCTTTCCTACAGAGACCTTTCACTCGTTTCTAAAACCTCTCGTTATTGGAGCCTCTCGCTTCTTCTCCTTCTTTCCCTCCTTCTCTGAATCTGCGTTGTTAAAAACTACCGTATAATTCTCCATTTGGCCTCTCGCTTTCAATCCACTCCTTAGCAACTCATCCATCTATCGATACATTTTGCCTGCGGCTTTCCACAAAGACTTATCACATCTGTGCCGTTTCATACATCAGCAATTGGCACCATCATGAAGGGATTCGCTTTTCTCTCCGCCGTTGCCGGCCTCAGTGCCGTCATGGCTTCTCCCACTCCCTCTACGAACAGCCCTCCTTCCAAGAGAGCCTCGCTACCCGTCGTTTCGGCCTCTGGAAATGGTAAGCGAAGATGCATCACAGCTCTCCTACTTCGATCAAATAGAACGCATGTATTAATATATTTTTGATGTGTAGCTTTCTGGGCTGATGGCAAGCGCTTCTATCTTCGCGGTATTGACTACCAACCTGGTGGTTCTTCGGGCACCTCGGACCCCTTGGCCGATTCCAAGACGTGTGAGCGAGACATCAAGAACTTCAAGGACCTTGGCGTCAATGTTATCCGTGTCTATGCTGTCGACAACTCCAAGAACCACGATGACTGCATGAACGCTCTCGCCGACGCTGGCATCTACCTGGTTCTTGATGTCAACAACCCCGGCTACTCCATCAACCGCTCCAAGCCCGGACCTTCCTACAACACCAAGTATCTCCAGAGCATTTTTGCTACCGTGGAGATGTTTGCCAAGTATGACAACACACTGGCTTTCTTCTCCGGCAACGAGGTCATCAACGACGAGCCTGGAACCGATGCCTGCGCCCCCTACATCAAGGCCGTCACTCGTGACATGAAGAACTACATGAACTCTCAAGGACTGCGCAAGGTTCCTGTTGGATACTCTGCTGCTGACGTGTCTTCCAACCGCCTGCAGACAGCAAAGTACATGAACTGCGGTAGCGACGATGAGCGATCCGATTTCTTTGCCTTTAACGACTACTCTTGGTGCAACAGCGACTTCAAGACCTCTGGCTGGGACCAAAAGGTTAAGACCTTTTCTGACTACGGCATTCCTATCTTGTATGTATACTACTCTTGACTCACCGTCCATGTTTCAGAATAGCTTGCTAATGACTGTTCGTCAGTTTGTCCGAGTGGGGTTGCATCAAGAACCGCCCTCGCAAGTTCGAAGAGCTGTCTGCCCTCATGAGCGCACAGATGAGCGCCGTTTACTCTGGTGGTATAATGTACGAATACTCCAAGGAAGACAACGACTACGGAATTGTTACTATCGATGGCGACTCTGTTTCCAAATCGGATGAGTACGCCCTGTTCAAGAAGGCCCTGGCTGCAAACGCTACTCCTACTGGCTCCGGTGGCGCTGCTAGCTCTAGCAAAGCTGCCCAGTGCCCGCCCAAGGCCTCTGGATGGAACGTTGACCCCAGCCTGGTCCCTGAGATGCCCTCTCAGGCCAACAAGTTCATGAAGAGCGGCGCCGGCTCAGGCCCTGGCCTTGGCGGCGATGGCTCTCAGAATGCTGCCGATAGCGGTACTGCCACAGCTAGTGCTACCGCAGGCACGGCATCTCCAACAACTGGAGGTGGAGCCAAGTCCCAATCTGAAGAATCCGACAGTGCTGCTGCCTCACTCTTGCTCGGCCCTATGGACAAGGCGCCATTCATCGTGTCTGGTTTGGCTATGGTCTTTACTCTGTTCGGCACTCTTCTTCTGTAAGGGTCTGAGGGACTATCGATTTGGGAGATTTGAAGTTTCATTATGTTTGGCGATTGGGAATGATGGGGCTCTAATTACACCGTTATAGATTAGGACGTTCTCCAGGTGTATGGTATGAATGGAATCCGGGCTGAGCCGTAATGTAAAGGCCACCCGGGTCTGAGTCTGGGCCTGGAAAGGCTGAACAGGAGTGGGAGGATGATAATCTTACAGTTTAGGCTTTGGAGCCATTGTTTATACATGCATCGCCTTTTTTTTCCTTCTTAGAATTCATTTTGGTCTTTTTGTATTGCAGCTGAAGTGATATGTGTTTCAAGCCCGAATGGACAGGGGGGTATCCTAAATGTTTGTTTCTATGAGCTGATTGGGCAATATTTGATCTCAACCTAGGTACAGGTACGTACTCCAACACAGCCTCGTGAGCGCTGGGCATGCATCAGGCTTTAGAATTGACTCATGATATCTATAACATGAACCTAGCATCTCATTTCATCCTAACCATCGACTACACGATTTACGTCGTAAATACCGTAAAGACATGGCAGATTCGCGCACCTTTTCACAGAATGCCTTGGGAGATAACGCGAAAGTCTTCTTGGGTGATAACCACGTCACGGTTAATGCCAGTATGTTTGAATGGATGCTGTGTAAGACTACAGTAAGCTAATAATACTACAGCTGGCCCAGACGCTGATAAGTTATTCCTACGGCAAATTAGCCAGACCGATCCGATTTATGACAAAAAGGATATTTTGATGCGCAAGGGTCCTTTACTAAGGATTCGTGTCGCTGGATACTCGACCACGAAGACTTCAGGGAATGGTACTGTACTCAAACGACGGGAGTCCTTTGGATAAAAGGAGACCCTGGAAAAGGCAAGACGATGCTGGTATGCGGTATAATTGAAGAGTTCGAAGAGTTCGAAGAATTCGAAAAGCTCGAAGTGATCAAAAGGTTCTTGGAGTCCAAGTTCGAAAAGCTCGAAAAGTCCTCGAAGCTCGAAGAGTTCGAAAAGTTTTCAAAGTATGAAAAACTCGAAAGGCTCGAAGAATTTAAAAAGTTCAAACAATTCAAAGAGAGCAAAGAATTTGCAGTGCTCGATGCAGTCTTCTCAAGCACCAACGTTGCCTACTATTTTTGCCAAGCCGCGGACCATCGAGCCAATTCTGCGACCGCCGTCATTCGAGGGCTGATATTTTCAGCGCTCAAATCACGTCCGGTACTCTTGAAACGCATTCGAGAGAGGTATGGAGACGGACCTAAGGGGCAGCTGGACGGAGACAAAGCACTGGTCGTCCTATGCGACAACTTTGAAACCATTGTTCGGGATCGAAACCTTACCAACTGTATCTATGTCATTGACGCTCTTGGTGAGTGTATCGAAGATTGCAATCATCTGCTGAGTCTTATTATAAAGACAGGCCACTATGTTAAATGGTTGGTTTCAAGTCGAAGCGAAAAATTCATTAAAAGAAAACTTGCCAAAATCTCACAAACGCTTGATTTGGAGGTGGAAGAAAACACTCGACAGGTCTCTGCATCTGTCGACATATATATTAACCATCAAGTCCAAGAGATCACTGCTATCGCAGACGACGAAGTCCTTCAATCTAGGACATCTAACATTCTCAAGAACAAGGCCAGTGGAACCTTCTTATGGGCAGCCCTTGTGGTAGAGCAGCTACGCGATACGGATCACTGGCAAGTAGAAGACGTGTTGAAAGAGATGCTAGAGGGGCTTGGAAGATTCTATGACCTGATCTTGAACCAAATGGACAAGTTGAAGGCCAAGGCTCGCGAGGCCTGCCAAGCTCTACTCTCAATTGTGGCCGCAGCCATGAGACCTCTTCATCTTACAGAGTTACTTGTCTTCATCAACGCTAATTGGAAGGACAGCGTGCGCTTCAAAACTTCATATCAGCTACGAGATGTACGAGACATGACGAAAGATTGTGGATCAATCTTGTCGATCAGAGATGATATCGTCTATTTCGTGCATCAGTCCGCCAAAGAGTATATCATGGAAGCTGCAGCGCATCGTCTATACCCTATTCCGCATCAGCACTACAAAATGTTTGAGGCATCAATCGATGCAATGTCTGGTTTTCTCACGTACAATATGTATAATCTGAGAGATCCGAAAACACATGTAGATGATGTCTTTCCATCAGACACCAACTCGGACCCCCTGGCTTCCCTAAGGTATTGCTGTGTGTTTTGGGTTGAGCATCTGGTTAAAGGCTTTGAACACTTTGATAACAGTCAAAATCTCTACTCCTTCCTCGTGGGGAAGTTTCTTTGCTGGATAGAATCCCTAGCTCTTATGCGCAGCTATATTCTGCATGCCTTGCCTGCTGTTCAGAAACTAAAAAAGATGATGGATAGCTGTTGCGACGATGGATCTACGAAGTCACAAGCCGGACATTTGAGGCAATTCCTTGACGACGCTTGCCGATTTGTCAACCATTCTACCACTTGGGTGCCTCATTGGCCTTTGCAGCTATATTTCTTAGCCATCGAGTTTGAGCCAAGCGACAGTATAATCAGATCGACCTTTAATCAAACTGTACGCGATAGGTTCGGCCCTATGCCTGCGGTTTTCAATATTTCCCAGAGTCAACAGTCATCTTTACCGCCTCGGACCATGATTTTCCCAAGACAGCTGGGTGATTCCATCCAACGACACTATCTAAATATCTCTCCTGGTTGGCATTTAAGGCGTTTGGGAAACAAACGCCCTATCATCACGTCCTGGGTTACCAAGAAGGACGCCAGAGACGTGATCTTGACGTCGGAGAGGACGACTTGTCCCGGTACCCCATAGAGATTACGGATTATAAGGATAACACTGGCGCTGACACGGAACTCGGCACTGATTTCTTTGCATATTCGAATCATTTCATGTCTGTACCCCGCGAAAACGTTATGGAAGACCGCAGAACCGGTTCCGCTTTCCACTACATGACTCTGGATCTCAGTCAAGGCCCATATCAGGGCCTTGATTTACGTGCGGGCAGCGCTTCTATCCAACATATGAAGGACCGCGGCGGTTCCACTACTTTCAACTACGTGTGTCTGGATCTCAGTCAAGACCCATAGCAGGGCCTTGATTTACATTCAGGCAGCACTTTTTTCTAGCAAGAGGGACCGAGAGAAAGAGAGGGATACTTGGGCTTAGAAAAATACTGAGGTCCCTTTACTTAAAAAGCAAAATATCAACAGAATGCAGGACGGAGCAACATATGTGATACGTAAGTTTAGGTAGATAATACTAGACGAAAGTATTGGAAGATCACATAATTACGGGTTTCTGGTGGAGATTTCAATGTTTCTCCTATTCATGTAAATGGAGTTGCCTTTGAGAATTAAGATTTCACCTTTATATCTTCTCAAATATGCCATAGACTTTCTCTGTCATTACTAGCAACTAGCCCCGAGGGTAACTCTGGGATAGAGTAACCGGGGCATTGGACATTATAATTGGATAGACCATGATAATCTTGTATGCATGCAATAGCTCTAGAATAATATTATCAAGACGGGGGAATTGTACTTTGAAATGAGATACCTTGTGGAGTATAACGAAAGTTAATCAGCTTTGATGGTAATACAGATAGAGAAGCGTAACTGTAAGTACACCGCTGTAGCCAATGTCGAAAAATATAGAAATGGAATTACTATCTTATGTATTAGTGTTAGGTGAAATTTGCACTTGTTCTTTGGGTTTAGCAATAGCGTTTACTGGCTCTGAGATGTTGGGCAAGGTTTCGACTGCACAAATGGGAGCGCAACGATTTATTTACTAAGGGTTACAACTTCATCTTCATTGCATTAAATGATAAGGTATATGACTCGGAAATTGGAGAAAATACCAGTATTCTAAGTAAAACACTTATCTGTTGCGATACGTGCTACCTGCTCTCTGTTTTGGTAATGTCATCACAAGCTCTTTTGGAGTCTTAACGGCGATGGCCCCACATCCCTTGAAGTGCCTCGGCTTTGCTGGAAATGGCAATTGCTAAGCTAATCACATCGCCTCGGCATGCTACAGTATGCTCTGCTGTCGACAACTCCAATTCGCTTTTCTTTCTCAGTCTCTCGTATCGGGGATTGGCTCTCTACATTTTCATTCTAATCTGTTTATTGTTTGCTACACGAAAGCACATCTTCTTCCTCGGCTCTCAATCAGCCTCTACGATTACTTCATTCGCTCACCTCTACACCGGGAAGCTTACCTAGCAAATCACCCAGAATAGCTCTGAAGATGTCATCAGCGGCGGAATCCCCCCTCGCGGCCTACAGCGCCTACAAGTTCTTCACAATCACCGGCCCCAAGCCATTCGTAGCACATGTGCAGATCCAGCGACCAGAGAAGCTCAATGCCTTCTCTGAGCCTATGTGGCTCGAGTTTGGACGTATCTTCCGACAGCTGAGCGAGGATGCCGATGTGCGGGCCGTGGTGCTGAGCGGAGCGGGTGACAGGGCGTTCACTGCTGGACTGGACGTGCAGTCGGCATCTCAGGATTCAGTGCTGAACTCGGATGGAAATGATCCCGCCAGGAAAGCGAAGAAGATCAGGGCGCACATTGAGGAGTTTCAGAGCTCTATTGGGGCGTTGGAGAAGTGCGAGAAACGTGAGTTTTTGAATTTCTTCTCTTCATCAATTCTAAGGTAAATAAGGGCATTCTCTGACATGTCTACTCCAACAGCGGTGATTTGCGCCATGCACGGAATTTCCATCGGCCTCGCCATCGATATTTCCTGCTGTGCCGACGTCCGCGTCTGCGCGTCCAACACCCGCTTCGCCGTCAAGGAGGTCGACATTGGCCTCGCCGCTGACATTGGCACGCTTGCGCGTCTCCCAAAGGTCGTGGGCTCCAACTCGTGGGTCAAGGACGTGTGCCTGACGGCCCGTGACTTTTCCGCACAGGAGGCTCTGGCGGTGGGTTTTGTGAGCCAGGTGCACGAAGGCAAGGAGAAGGCGGTACAAGCGGCCATTGACATGGCGACGTTTATTGCATCGAAGAGCCCGGTGGCGGTTCAGGGTACCAAGGAGCTGCTGAACCACGCGAGAGATCACAGCACGGCGGATGCTCTGCGGTATACGCAGTTGTGGAATTCGGCGGCGCTGCAGGGAGCGGATTTCCCGGCGGCGATGATGAGTGTATTGAAGAGGCAGAAGCCGACTTTTGCCAAATTGTAAATCATCCGTCGATCGTGGGAATGTCTTGATATTAATGGTAGCGGTTGTATGTACATTGGCTAGAATAAACTGCCTGATAATGTATGGACTCTCTTTCAGTGGGATAAATCAAATTTGTTTTCGCTAGACATGGGTTTGGAGTTCGAATAAAGCAGTTTTTGTAGCGTGTCTAAATTGCTTGATATGGGGCGGCTTATTCGGAACCGGACTCGTCAACAGGAGGAAGATTCTCCTTCAGGCGCTGTAGAAAATCGTCGTGTGAGCAAAGAATTGACAGGAATAAAGCGAGTAAAAAGGGCATCGAGGTTGTATCATACATCTTCGAGTTTCTGTTTGAGCAAGTGAACCATGTTTTCCTTGACCACGACACGCTCCTCGTCCAAATCTTCGATGATGAAGTCGTGGTTGACGCTATCGATGTTGACGATGATGGACTTGATGGAGGGATCGCATTCGATCAGGACGCCTAAGCACGAGGCGTGACAAGTCAGTTATAAGCCATGAGAGTTATGAGCAGACGCAAAAATGAGCGAAATGCATACCTCTGATTGCGCGGGGCATGCTGGGCAGTCGGCGGTTGATCCGGAGGAGTCTAAAAATCGTGAATCGAGCGAGGCAAGGCTGCGCTAAGAAATGGATGATGATGGCGAGCGCTGGAGAGTTCTGGTGCCTTAGGTCTCTGCACATCGATTTACGGCGGGTCTGGCGGCTCCAGCCCGTGGCTTTAGCGCCCGAGAGACGGTCGGGTGGGCCTGGAAGGGCGCCGGTGAAGCTTCTCCGGCAGCTATACGTGTATCCTTATTTTACAGTTTAAGAGGGCAGTATCGAGATCTCTATGGATATCGACATTTAGCATGCCAATGACTTCAACTGGGCGTGTTGGTTATCAGCTCGTTAATCGCCGACCGCCTCCGTATTCCGCAGCGATTATTCAAATCACAGGCACCACGCCTCAGTAGGGCTGTGCCGTGCTCCGCTCCCAAAGGATCCCAAAGTGCCCACTCCCGACAGCGAGCCTCATATAAACGGCTAAATTACAGCCAGACTGAGCAGCAGGTGCCTTGCTTTAAGCCTGGCTGACTGCCTTGGGCTCGCTTGGCGCAGCATTACGGCTGACTTGGGCCGTTGATACGACTCCCCCGATGTGACAAATTTGTCAACAGCTGCGACTGATGATGTGACTGGCTGGCGAGTGGACTAGCAGCCGCGAGCGTAATGCCGCGAGCGTAATAATGGATATATTCGGGGCTTTGAAGAGTGACGTCGAGGTAGGTTGACGTTCAACAGCCGTATAAAAACATTCCTTCGCCTCTTTATGATTGAGTGATTTTAAGCCTCGCCTCTTATACTTTGTTACATGTCTCTTGAGCTTTGCTGCATGTATTAATACCAAGACAATTCTCATTAATTTTCTGCCCATTTGTCTCCTCCTCTTATTTCAGCAAGTGAACCAAATCTGAGGCTGAATATACGAAATTCTGCGTGTACTCATTCGGATAGCCGCCCGCTGGCTTCCTTTCGCCGCAATAGGCGCAAACATACTTCAATACGCATATATCGTTGACGGCCATCATCATGCCTCAGCATTCGGATCAGCACACATCGACGCGACCGTTGACATATATAATCATCCCTATCCTCGCGCTCTTTGCCGTGTTCTCGATAGTGATATTGTTCTTCTGCATTCGCCGTCGCAGGGCTCGGGAAACTGCCATCGATTTGGACCGAGGCCGAGGCCGGTGGGTGAGACGAGATGGAGTCTTGGTCTGGGTGAGGCGAGTCGGAACATTGCGACGTAATCCGGCGGGAGGCACTGATTCTCACGAAGGGCTCAACGAACAGGGAGAAGCACCGCCTCCATATTTGGTTAGGAAGCTGTCGGCAGATGGAGATGCTGTCGCGGATGGAAGACCGGTGGAGCTGAGAGATCTGGAGGAGGGGAGAAGGCCGCCCGAGTATATCTCTGAGCCACCGCCGGCTGTCACGACTGATTCGAGGAGGACAGAAGCATAGCGAAGACGCCGGTTATACATTTTGCAGATGAAGTTGGAGTTCGATGCTGTTCGGATTTTGCAGAGTTTTCGAAGCGCAGTGTAATGGCGATTTGAGTTTTTGGTTCTACGTTTCATGGTAATCTTACGGCGTTTGAAGCCTCAGGTTTAGACGGGTGATTGAACATTTAGATGTACGACTTTTCAGATTCATTACTTCAGTGGAGGTCAATATGATTTGGATTTGGAAATGCTGCATAAGAGCTGGGCAGGGTTAATACCGGCTTCCTAGACAGCACTGGGGTTGACTGATGGAATAGAGATTTATAATAGATATATTCATTCTGACATACGCAAGTCAGGCAACAACCACCCATAACATCTGACTGGCCTCACTCCAATCTTAATACCTACAAGTACAATATTACTGTCTGTGTTCTACTACCCAACGGCTACGCCCTGATATCCGATCAGGGAATCAATACAAACGAAGTGAGACGACATATAGGCCATGTACTCTTCTGTGGCATTCGCATCACCTCTCAGCTCACGCTGGGCTAGGCTTCACGGCTCTTCGTGTCGGAACGAGTTACTTGCACAGGTAACCGGCTAGCTGCCGAGGGCGGCCGTTTTGAGAGACACAAACGAGCACTGCCGGCATCACGAGTGCTAACCCCGCGCGCACTTGGCGACGCACACTTCTATCATACATGAGTTACTCAAAATCCGTATTGCTACTATCTGTTTATTTGGCCAAAAATTACTGGCGTATGATGGGGGAAACGCAAAGAACATAAACTTACATGCGAGGAACCTACAACAATAGGGTTGTGCTTGTTTGAGTTCCAGTTCGATTCCAATTCTACATGTACACAGGGATGTCCGTCGATGTTGAGAAAAATTGAGACATGTTCTTGTCAACGTGAGGCTGGATAAGTGACTTATATCAATAAATTGACCAATTTGAATGTAAGACACCATTAGTTGATCTGTTAAAATTGATGTATTATTGGCAAATATAGTTTAATTTGATGGAAGATGAAAAAGTGACACATCAAGATCAAAGTTAAATGAATCGACCAGTATACTCGCACTCTTCTGATCGAAGCGTTAGACAGCATCTGGGTCACGGCAGGCTTTCGGATATCCTGTCAAATAAGATCTGCTTCGCACCAGAGCCTTATTCTGGTAAAACGAGCCACGGCAGTTCCGGAGCTATGGAAAAGAGGCTCCGGCTGGTAGTGTATTTAATCGAAAAAAAAGCGCCCCATAGCATTAATTAGGACAGCTCAATCGCTAGCAGCTCACTTGGCCGATCGATCACGATCCGTCGGGCGGTGCCCATTTTGGGATCCGCTGAAGCCGCAGACGGGGAGATGGCAAACACCTACTTCGTGTATATTCGAACATGAAGCTTTGCACACTGCAACTTGGGCTGCGCCTCAGCCCTACCTATCCATGCGTGCCACGAACCGCTGGGGGGTTGCGGGAGAACGCGGAATGAGAAGTGACCAAGATTTGGCAGCGTCCATGCGCAATCGGCAGCGAAAGACGACCGACGACGTACGAGGATGGAGGTTTTGAAGCACATCGTACCAGTGCGAGCCCAGACGGGTGGCACAGGTGCTCCGTAATTACTCGTACTTCCAGCCTGAGCAAGCTAAGCGCTGCAAGCATTTTGGGAGCTGCTTGTTCCCCCATGCACATCACACAGATTCCCACTTTCAGCCCTCGGCAGTCCTGCTGGAGTCGCTCTCCTGGTTCGTGTCCCATGTCCCTCCCATGTGCCTGGACCTGGACCTGGCCGCAGAAAAGAACGTCCAAGCTGGGTTAACAGGCGGTTCTGGTTACCCTGCCAGCGTGACGGCCGATTCAGGTCGCTCCGGCGCCATTGGCGGGTCGCCTTTGGGTTTTCTGGAGAACCGCCATGGTTCGGCTTCTCCATGCTGCCAGGGGTTTGTGGACGCGGTTGCGGCTTGAAGCCATGGGGCGGGAAGAAGGTGTCAATTAGCAGCAGCACGGTATCACAGAGTAACGAGTACGGCAGACGCAGAGAGGGCACTACATCATGGTGACTTCAACGATTTTCGAAGATGGCAATGCAGATGAGGGAATAAGTACCTCTGTTAGTGTAAGCATGCGTGAGCTGAGGTTGGAAGATAGAGGAAGCGACACGTTGGGCGTCAATGGATAACACACAGCTCTGCTCTGGCTATCAGCTCTGAATCGAGCTCTGCTCTCCTTTTCAACCCCCTCAAGCTGACGATCGGCCATTGGCTGGAAACGCACGCGAATAATACGTGGTAGCGCAAGCTCGTGCAATGGCGCTGCGCTGTATCACCAGCCTCGTCCTTTTTTTTTTCTTTTCCCCTACTGCGCCACCACCCGCCTATCAGAGGCGCAAGGGGGATCGTTGATTGATTGATTGATAGAGATTAGGTAGTAGAGAGGGAGACACACAGAGAGAGAGAGACAAGGGAAAAGAAAAAAAAAAGATGGCTGGTGTTTCTCCATAGAAGATGGAAATATCTTGTTTCGCGGTTGGCTAGTTCTGCGCTACTTTGCCTGCGCTCTGGAAAAGAAGCATCGTCTGTCCGTTGGATGCATCACGCATGCATGTACCCTCCATGTAACCACTTTGCTCCTCAGCAGGTACCGCATACCTCGTGCCACCACCCAAGCTGGCGAGCAGAGGAGAACTGAAGTCAGCCACCGGCCACTGCACTCATCCTCCAGTAACGGCATAGACAGACGCTATTACAGCGTGGCTAGCACACCCGTTCAGAGGGTCCAGCAGGCGGCACCACCCACCCTGGCCCGCCCGAGCGCCATTGGACAGGCGCATCAGCAGCGCCAACTCATCAAGCAGAGGCCCCAGCCCGCTTCTGGACAATAACAAGGCCTCAATCCATCCCATCAGCCTGCGAGTCTCAGGTCGGGCCCTCTCCTCTTCCTCCTGCTTGCATATCGCATCGCCCACCTGCGCCCACTTGCGTCGCCTCGCGTTTGCTGCGTTTCCCTGGAGAAGAGAAAACAGAAGCTCAGGAAACGCGAGAGAAGAAGCGACCCTCGGTCTACGGGCATCTTATCGCATCGCATCGCATCGCATCGCATCTGCTCAGCTCGCAGCCGCATTTTGCAGCTCACCGACAGGCTCCTCTCCGGTTTGCTGCTCCTCCGCCTCACTCAGCTGGCTGTACATACATATTACCTCATATTCCCACATATTACTCCTACATATTACTGCTTCATACACCAGCTCATCGTCGCCCGCACGCCATACATACTTGTGCGCTTTTCCAGGTACAGCTGGCTGGGCCTGCAGCAACTCCCCTGACACTGCAGCTCCTCTGGCCGTCTCGCTTTACCGCTCCGGCGCCTGAGCTTTGCCACTCTTCAGCTGCCAGCTAAAAGCCTGGCCCTGGCCCTTCCCGATTCCGCCCTCTCCTCTTTGGTTCCTGTGAGTTTCTGACATCCCAACCCACCTGCTCGGGCCCATCTCGAGTGGCCCGTCTGGAAATTCACATTCCTTTCACATTCTTCACTTTCTTCAACCTCTGTGCCCCGTCCATTTGCTGACGTCGGTCAAGGCGCTCGTCCCATTCTTCGCCAAGCGTTTGGGCCTCGTTCCGGATGTCTGGATATTACTATTATTTATTTTAATATCTCTTCCTCAACCTCGCCCTTGGTTTTCTTTGACGCGCCCCTTTCCATATTCTAGGACCTTCGCCTTTGAGGAGCTGCCCCGCCGCGCTCACGCCCATTGTTAGCGGTACAACGTTAGGAGGCAAGGATACCGATCGCCTTTGTGCCTAACATGAGCACCGTCAGTAGAAAAAGCCTCCCGCTACCTGCCCCGACCGAGACCGACGAGACAGAAACGCCCACGGAGCTTACCGCCGACATCTCCAGGCTCGGTGACGAGAAATCGGGCTACTCGATGGCCGACGACAGCACCGCTCCCATCTCTAGTCGAGCTCGCGGGCACAGAAGCCATCGGTCTCAGACATCGCTATTGATCGAGTACTTTGAAGGCAGCAGAACAGGGAGCTCGACCAGCCGTAAGCCCAGCGTGCGAGTGCGGCTCACCCCCTCTACCTCCAAAAGGGGGAAGAATAATCACAGTGTCCAAGTGACAGAGACGAAGACTTCCCGCAAAGGTTCGCTGACTCGACGGATTCCCTTGGACGATGGCGTCTCAGCCCGCGAGCACGAACTGCTCGGGGCCGACGATGGCCATAGTGTGACGTCGTATGCTTCGGCCACCGAGGAATCCACTGTCTCACGAAACCCCATCGACATAGAGATTACCCAGGGCCAACAACAGCAGCAGCAGCAGCAACGACGGCGCCGCCCTGCCAGCCCACTGATCCCAAGTAATGAGAGAGAATCCTCCTATCCGCCAGGAAATGGCTCTGAAATCTCAGCCATCCCCACAGACAGCTTCCTGGATGGCTCTCCTGGACGCGAACTGGGCTCGGGAGAGCATCTTGAAGAGACTGTAGAAGACCCCAAAGCTACCAAAACCAAGTCAAAAGACCGCTCCTCATCAAAGGCACCATCGGATAAATCCAAGGACAAGGGAGAACGCAAGCGGCGGTCAAAGAGTCGGGCTGGAAGCATCAGCGAACCTCCACCTGAGGAGGTCTACACGTCCTCACGACGTCGCTCCAGCCGAAGCCGCAACCCAGAACCACCAGCGCCCCAATTCTCTGCCGTTGACTCAAGTGTCCTATCGTCAAACTTGGCCCCCAGCCATCGCTCCATGGATACTCGCTCTATGCGCTCTGGCGCATCAAAATCTTCCATCAACAACCCCAAGTTGCTGGAGACGGTTGAAGATGCCATCCGGAGACTGATCTTACCGGAATTGAGCGCTCTCAAGCGGGAACAAAGCAAACGCGAAGGCCGACGGGCGTCTTTTTCTTCATCTGCGTCAAGAGAAGATATTGCGTTGGACCGCAGGCGGTCTGCAAGTCAAAAGCCCGAGTCAGCCAGGGATAAGGAGGGCATGAAAGAGAA